GAACCCTAAGACCCTAAAACCCTAAACCCTAAACCCCCAAACCCAACACCCATCCATGTCTGGCGGTGGACTTCATGAGCGGCGGCCACTGCAGCTTTTCAGGGTTCCGATGGTCCCAGGAATTCCGATGGACCCCAGGGTCAACGGGACCGATGGTCCCAGGGGGGGGAATGTTGTGTTGGTTGGGTTTGGGGGTTTGGGGTTTGGGGTTTGGGGTTCCTGGCAAAGCCTGTTTGAGGCCCATTGATTTGTACAACTAAACCCACATTTAGCCCTAAAACCCGCACCCTAAACCCTAGTAAATCCTAAACCAGTTTGAAGTTAGGGATCCTGGGGAGGCTCGCGGGCTGTCCGGACCCTGGCAGTGATTGAATCTTCCGCATGTAAGGGGGCAGGCAGCGGCAACACTGTTGCAGTGGAAAATTTGAGCAGCATAGGAAACAACAAACACTAAACCTAGCCAACGTTAGGGGCAAATTGTGGAACGAAGAGCCCGACTTGCAAACCTGGTTTTTGAACCAGACTTCAGCCGGAAGTCTGGTTTTTTCGCGGCGCAAACCCAGTTGTCTTTTCAGTTGCCTTGCCCGGGGGGAAAGGCAACCGGGGGGAAAGGCAATTGGGCGAACTCTCCTTAATTCAGTTGCCTTTGCGGGGGGAAAGGAAATTGGGCGAACTCCCCTTAATTCAGTTGCCTTTCGGGCGAACTCCCCTTAAAGACCCTCCCTTTTGCCGGGGGAAAGGAAATTGGGCGAACTCCCCTTAAAGACTCCGAGAAAGGAAATTGGGCGAACTCCCCTTAAATGCCCCCCTTCAAACGTCCTCGATGCGAACGAATAAACCAGAAGAAATAAGTGAGCAAGTTGGATGTCCTCGACGCGAATTAGTTTTTTTGGAAAGCTGGAAGCTGGATGTCCTCGATGCGAATTGGTCTCTTAGAAAGTTGGATAGCCTCGATGCGAATTAGTCAATTTAAACGTCAATTCCAGAAGAAACACATGAGAAAGTTGGATGGGAAAATAAAAAACTATTTCAATTATTCTTAACGGCCGACCAGATTAATGCGCCGTTGTTTTTTCTTGCGGGGAGGCTCGACGAGCTTAGGGGAAAACGTGCCGAGTTAGTTCACTTTGCTTTGGGCGCCTTACAACCAGGCTCCGAGGCTACAAGTTTAAATAAAAAAACCAACAAAAAAGAACAGACTTTAGTCTTACGCAGGGCCCGACTGCAAACACCCCCCCCCCCCCCGCCAGCAGGGGCCGTAAAACAGTCACGCATGCGCGCGACCGTTTTAAGGCCTTTCCCCGGGACCCCTTGCGACGGTTTTACCGACCCCCGCCGCCAGCAGGGGTCCGTAAAACAGTCCGGACCCGATCCCAGCCACCCCCTCATGACAGATACGCACGACCGTTTTAAGGCCTCCCGGCGGCAGCGGGACGAAGGCACAGGACCCACTGCAAGGGTCAAAGAAATAATAAGCTAAGTTCGAAATCAATCCAAACCCTTGACCCTTGATGGCAAGGGGGGATCTGAGAAGCCGGCCAAGAAAGCGAGGAAGGGGCCATAAGCGGCCGACTCCGGGCTCAGCCGTTGCTTGCACCGCAGTCCAAGACGTGGACACTGCAGGTGATGCTTGCCTCGGCGGGCACACCCTGTCACGCCGGTGCGTCAAGCATTTTGAACATGTCACACATCGCCAGCCGCCAGACATGTTTCACAAGCCAAACGGCTGCAAGGTGTTCCCCCAGTTCGGTAGCAAGAATGGTCTTCTCTTTAAACCGGCTTTCACCGGGACACCACGTGGCAACACTGCCGGGTTCTATTTTCTATACCCAAGGATTTCGAGCAAAAGCACCAAGAAACCCCAGAAATACCCTAAATTTCAGACAACGATTGTATTACCTAGAAAAACTCAATTCGCAACAAGTTGCGTTTTGTGTTTTCCTAGGGAGGACCGAAACAGTGCAACACGAACCCAAACGCGCGTTCCCTTGTGGGCAAACTCAACTCGCAACCATTTGCATTACGTGCTTCCCTATGGATTTTGGACCGAAACACCAGATCGACAAGCCCAAAACGTGCATTCCCTTGGGAAAACTCAATTCGCAACTAGTTGCGTTAAGTGTTTTCCTATGGATTCTGGGCCGAAACATCGAATCACAAACGCCGCCCATCTGTCCTCGACGTCACAGCGCAAGCTGGGCAGGAGACACAGCTGCCATTGCCTTGTTTTGGTACGGGCTGCTGCAGCCGACTGGGGCTGTTGCAGCCATCTGAGCCTATGCTCTAAACCCTAAACCCTAAACCCTAAACCCTAAACCCTAAACTTAAATAAACCCTAATTCCGGCTCTTGCTGGTGTGGGTAGCTGTCGCCTGCTATAGGTCTTTCTTGGGTTTACGATTCAATTCCGGATATTGTTTTCCAGATATGCGGATGTGACTGGTTGCGCCCAATGCTTGTTCAGAACTTACTTCAAGAGAATCTATATATTGGGGCAGGGAGGAACGCCAACAGAAACTGGGACATACAGGAGCACCTCAAGGCAGAACAAAGGAGACACAAATAAAAACACAAAAAAGCACAGACTTACGCAGGCAAGCCGTGCGTCCTTCAGGGGCCAAAGTGCGAATCCAGATCGTGTCTCAAGAACAGATTTGGGTTTCGCGCCTGCCCCGAACGAAACAAGCTTGGGACAAACAACCTCCTGACAAGTCGGGACTATGCACCGCGCGCGTTTCAGAGCCCAAGGAACGCATCTACACCTCCCAAGAAGAACGGGGTTTTGCCGTTCGACAAGTCTCCAGACCCTTAGAAACCTTTACATAACAGCCCTTAATCTTCACCCTAAATTCTGAATCCGCGCCGTTCTTGACTTAGTATGTCGGAAAACAGCCCGAAAGACCCCCCCAAACCTTCACTCACGGACAGCCCCCGTGCGCGTAACAGGGCCCAAAGTGCGCATCCAGACGCGTCGCAAGAACAGATCCGGGGTGTCGCACCCCCCCCCCCCCCCGCACGAAACAAGCAAGCCTGGGACAAACAACTTCCCCACAGGTCGGGAACACCGCGCGCAAAGAACGCATCTAGCCACCACCCAAGAAGAACGGGCACACCCTTAGAAACCTTCAACAACCCTTAATCTTCACCCTAGATTCTGAATCCGCGCCATGTTCTTGCCTTGTAATATCTCACAAAAAATAGCCCAAAAGACCCCCCCAAACATTCACGGACAGCCCCCATGCTCGTTTCAGGGCCCAAGGTGCACATCCAGACGTGTCTCAAGACCAGATTTGAGGGTTTCGCACTCCCCGCCCGAACGAAACAAGCCTGGAACAAACAACCTCCCCACAGGTCGGGAATAGTCAGAGCCCAAGGAACGCATCTAGCCACCTCCCAAGAAGAACGGTTTGCTATTGCCGTTCGCCTTAGAAAGCCTTAGAAACCTTTGACAACCCTTGATCTTCGCCCTAAATTCTGAATCCGCGCCGTGTTCTTGCCTTGATATGTCGCAAAAAAAACTCCTGAAATGCGCGTCCAGGCAGGAGATCTCCAAGGTCAGGCATCTTCGAAACGACGAGAAAGAAGTAGGGCCACGACCTGGAGAAGGGCGCCGGACCGACACACGCAAGCAGACATGCCTCAGGAAAAAAGCGCTCGTGCGATAAATCACGAGCCGCCGCTCACTGCTGTCTGCTCCGTGAGAACAGAAGTCAGCGTGCGGAATCAATGTCCACACGCAAGGGCAGGGCCACCATGGATAAGTTCACGGGAAGCCTGGTTTGGCTGCGCCCCATCCGCCATTCATGAGAATGCATCTGAGCATGCCTTGGGGGAATAAGGTCTGGGGAGACCACTGCCACCTACCCGATATGTCACATGTGCCTCGAGTGAGATGATGCAAATCTGCAGTCCGGTCCGGTCCATTCCTGTCCCAAACCCAACAAATCCCCAACGCCCCAGCATACTCGATCAGCGCATCATTGAAGAAGGCGCCGGGTCGGCCTGGCAAGATCCGTCCCTTTTCCAGACGAAACGGTTACCCAACATGTCGGCGTGTCGTGTCCGGCATTCATGTACAACTCGAACCCCCCTTTGACGAAAGCCGCGTGAGCAGAGAATCTCCCGTCCCAAGTTTGAGAGCTGGTAAGATATGAAGCCGGACAGCAAACCTGCGATCGAAACCCAGCACCCAGAAAGTTGCCAAGCCTTTCAAGAGGAAGATCTGAGTGAAGGGCGGAGCGTGAACAAGGTGAAGATCCAGGACTTGGTAGAGGGACCGGAGAATCTCACCCAGGCAAGGGGTGCTATGTTTCTCAGGGGAAGAGAGCCTTCGGCTTCGGGAAGCACAGATCTCATGCGCTATCAAGTCAAGCCGCGCTAGCTCAGATGGAACCATGTGTCTTAACAGCCCTGAAACCGTCCACCAAAACGCAAGTCACCCAAATCTTTGAAGGGCTCGGGATCTAGAGCTGTCTCTCACTCTCCAGCTCATGCAATTTGGTGCACGGCCTCCGAACTCTGCGATGTTGTGAGCTATTTCTGTGACAGGTGACTACCCTGGGCATCCGTTATTGATTCTAATCAATAAACTTTTATTGATATTGATCCATGGTTTTTTTCATATAATATATATTGAAGATGATGGTGTTGTAATCAATATACATATTCAATACGAATCACCCTACAAAACAAGCTGAAATTCCATATATTTGCATATGAAAAGCACCTTCAAAATCAATAGCAAAACTCGATAAATGCATACCAAAAACCACTAAATCTACATCTATATATATGTATATATCATCTTGAAAATCAGTCCAAAATTAATGCCTAAACCCTAAACCCTAAACCTAAACCTTGGGGGCTCTTTCTACTCAGCTTGCCGCAGGCAAGTCTCTTGGCCACGGCCTCTTAGGCTGCAGCAACGGTGTGAAACCCTTTGCTCCAGGGCGCCCTTTCCTCAAGGGCCGACAGCCTTTTCACAAGGATGCCATCCTTTTCTCAAGGGTCTTCTTCCTCCTCTTCCTTGCCAATGCAGAAGCCCGGCCTTGTAAGCTGGAAGTGCAGCAGCAGCTTCCACTTATCGGCCACTTTGCAGCTGATCCGTGTAGACTTGAGCCCGAAGGCGGTGCTGTGTGCTATGCGGGACATGGCACCCACGTAGTCTTCGGACCGGAAGTTCCAGTGGAAGCGGGGATTCATGTCCTTAGAGGACAGGATCATGTGCTGGTAGCTGTGGTGCTTGTGCACGACATGGAAGAGGTTCCTTTCCTCAAGGATACTCCAGTCATGCAAGTCCGCATAAAGCCCGCAGAATTGATCAATGCCCAGGTCCCAGGCTCTGTTGTACTCTTCCTCGGAAAGAAACATGGGTGCCTGGTCAAAGAGGTCGTTGAGGTCACAGAAAGCTTGTAGGCACTGCTTCATCTGCTGCTCGTGCCTTTTACCAAGGTCCGTGAGCAGCGACTTGAGCACAGGCAACAAAGCCGGGGCAAGGTGTTTCAACTCTGCTGCTTTGACTCCCAGGAAAGGGTGCGACTTGTACGGAGCAAGGGGGTCGCAGAACATGGACAGCCGAAGATTTGTGAGGCGGCAAGCAGTCTTGTTGGCCTGGTAGACCTTCTGCACTTCAGAGAAGACGACCCCCAATCTCTGAGCCGGCGGCACCGAGCATGTGGCTCCCTTGCCCTCGTAGTAACACAAATAGTGCAACAAGGAGCCAAGGAGATGGCTCCCGACGCCTTTGCCGTAAACGACATGCAAGGCGTCGTGTCGCACTAATCGTGTCGTCACTCCAGGAATGGAGAAGAGGGGATGGGAGCGGCCGCCTTTTCCCAAGGCGGCTTCGCCTTTTCTCAAGGCGGCAGCCGTGTCGAAGTGCTCGTAGGATTGCTTCTCCCACCTGAGCTCCTTCACACTTTTACCAAGTGGACACGGCTGCTTCTTGAACACCGGTCGCTGGCAGTCGCACTCGAAACAAGGGAACTTGTTGTTCCAATGCGGCAAGTGCAGAACGTTGGAGTAGAAGTCTTGATCCCCTTGAATACTCCAAATGACTGCCCTGTACCCTTTAAACAAGGGCTTCCCGGCGTCTTCGGCGAACTTGGCGAACTCTTTTACCAAGGGCTCGCCATTCGGACCCGCCGTTGGGTGGAAGCCTTTTAGCAAGGCTTCGAAGGACCACCGCATCAACTCGTACATCGGGGTCCATGTGTCCTCGCTGGTGGCCGATTTCGGCCACACGGCCATGTGAAGGTGGGAGTCCAAGCTCGACTTCTGATTCAGCAAGGACCCCCAGGACCAGCACATTAAACTGTCTCGCTGCTGGTACTCCACTCCGTCGGCGTGGATGTAGAGTGGGATCGTCCGATCTTTCTTTTGAACCCTTTTATCAAGGGCTATAGGGTGCATGTCCAGGCGGTCGTCCTGGACACCTTCCACTCCATCCCAGAAGCTCGCCAAACCCGAAGTCGCGAAGACCGCATGAAACTCGTCCGGATAAAATTGCCCCAGTTCTGCAAACACAACATGCGGCAACATCATGGCGGCCTGGGCACTGTCCTTAGTGCCCGACTTCGGGTCGAGGCACTGCACTTTTAGCAAGTGGGCAGGGGTCATCCGGCTCCTTTTACCAAGGAGCCGGAGCAGGTCTCGGGAAATGTTCCCTTTATGCCTGCTGAAGGAGCCTGCTTGGCCCAGAGCCACCAACTCCGGATGGCCTGCTCCATCTAAAGTGGCACAACGGGCCAGGTCAGCTACCATCGTAGCTGACACCAAGCCCTTGCACCACAGCTCTAGGAGCCGAGTGCTCAAGGCACTCGGCTCCTGATCCATTTCGCAAGGATCAGAGCCCAGACCCGTTTCCCAGGGGTCTGGGCTCGCTGCTTCGCCAGCTGCCACCTCAGCTTCAACCTTCTGTCGCTGCCATCCTCGTAGTCTTTTCGCTTTCCTGCCCGTCTCCATGCAGCACTGCAGGATAGCCTTTTCTCAAGGCTGCCTAGGCCTTTCAGCAAGGCTTAGGAAAAACCATTCCTCAAGGCACGGCTAGAAGAGTTTAGGGCTGGACTTTAGGGCTGAAGCTTTCCTGCAGGGTCTGAGCCTTGAGCTTAAAGCTTTAGGGGCCAAGAACGTGCTGTGAAGCTTGTGCAGAGGCTGCAGGGTCTCAGGCTGGGGCTTAAAGCTTCAGGGTCCCAGAACCTACTCTGCTCACTCTACCTGGGGCCGAAACTGCAGGCAGGGGCGGCTTCAGTAGCAAGCAGGAAGCAAACACGACCTACACGAAACACTTGCCGGCAGCATATATAATGTTTCTTCAAGTGGGAACAGCAGGAATGCTGGGTCTCGGAAAACAGCAAGCTATAAGCCGGTGCAACAAGAACACAAATGTATTTAGTCATGGGTATATCTAGAAATCTTTTTCTAAAACCACTAGAAAGACCATGCCCCGGCTGATGCTGAAATTTGCTATGCAGTGACACACGTGTGAGACGACAGCCTTTCAGCGGTCGCCAACACCGGTCACAGGGCGACCTTTTAGCAAGGTCGCCCGCACAGGCGCTCAGGGAGAACCTCGAGGCCCCCTTTTCTCAAGGTAGGGCCCTTGTAAAGCAAAACTGCTCAAAGTGCCGGAGAGCCTTTTCTCAAGGCTGTGGAGGGCCCTCCAGCAGAGGACCCTTGTCAAGCAAAACTGCAGCAAAGGCAGACTTCTCACTTTTTCGAGGAAGCCTTCGAGGCAGTCTTTCTGGCCAGCTGGTTCAGCTCTTTGGCTTCGTCTTTGGCGGCTTTAGCAGCCGCAGCTGCTTCGGTGAGAAGCTCTTTGAGGCCCTTGAAGGAAAGCCCCTTCTCTTTCTTGACCAGCACAACTTTCAGGGCTTCGTGGTACTTGTAGCAGTCTGCCAAAGTGGCCTCTGCTTCCTTCTTCGCCACTTTCGTGAGTCGCTTGCTGGCGGTCGCCATTTTGATTGCTGCCTCCAAATCCGAGCCTTCCCGAGACATCTGATCTCGCGCTTTCTTGGCTTTCCCGAGTGCCTTGTGCCAGCTTTCCTCGGTCTCCTCTTCCTCGACTTTGCCGTCCTGAAGGGCCAGCTGGTTGTCCTCCTTTTCCTGAAGAGCTTGCTGTCCCTTGGCAGAGCCTTTGCCTTTCTTGCCCCAGTCGCCTTTTCCCAAGGCCTTTCCTCCGCCGCCGCCCTTTCCTTTGCCTTTTCCTTCCTGCACGTCTTGAAGCAGAAGGGCAAGGTCCTTGCTCTTCCACTTCTGAAACTCGGACTCGTCATCTTCTTGCGGCTTGTACTCCTGAGCCAAGGACCACTCCTTCTTGGAGTTCACCGTGCTGTGCTTCTTCACATCACCCAAGTCCCGGTAATTCCACACATTGGCCGTCCAAGGATCCTGCCTGTACTGGATCCTTCCGGACTCCAAGTGGAGGAGAAACTCCTGTTCGCTGAAGGCCTGGAGCATTTGCTGCTCGCTTTTCCACACCTCCCTTTTAACAAGGGAGTTGTTCGCTGAGAAGGACTCCTGCACCGTCAGGAACTTCGGATGCTCCTTTTTCACAAGGAACATGGCAGTGGCATTGCCTTTCTCCGTCTTGGAGAGGGCATCGTACTTTTCCTTCTCCTCGGGGTTCTGGTTGAGAAACGTCTGGTGGCGACTCCAGGCGGCACTGTGCTCCTTTTTCGTCATGGCACCTTTTAGCAAGGCCGCCGCCTCCTCCGCCGTCGCTTCCTTTCCCACGGCTTCGACTTTCTCGGACAGCTTCAGCTTCCCTAGCTTGGCTAGGTTCCTGGCTTTCAGGGATACCTTTAAGATCCCTGCCGGCTTCCGCTGCACAGCCCTACCTTTTACCAAGGCAGAGCCTTTGGCCTTCATGGCCTTTTTCACGTTTTTTCCCATGGCTCCGGGGATTCGCTGTACACTAGCTATATACTTGATCTCTGCAGCTGCGACCAAAAATCTCGATCAGGAGCAGTCCTTTAGCTACACAATACTGCATGCATGCACGTACCATGACACAACACGAAACACCACGAGAGAGCAGCAAAAACGGACCCTAGCCCCAACCCTACACCACATGTACGACCCTATAATATGCATATGTATGTATATAGACAGATACATAGATGTAGTCTTAAACACTCAACCGACCCTAAACCCCAAGCCCTAAACCCTCGACCCTAATCCCTACACCTTAGAACCGAAAGGCCTTACAGCTTAAACCCCAACATCTAAAGCCTGCACCTCTAACCCTAAACCCGACACCTTAGACCCCAAACCCCAGTTACCAATGATTATGTGTATGGTTTAGGGATCCTTGTGCCGTTGGGGTGGCCTGGGTTGGCCTGGGTTGGGCTCGGTTGGGTTTGCTTAAGAATCTGGTTTGGTGTAGCATGTGGTGTGGTTTGGTCTCGTGTGTTTTGATGTGTTGGCATCTATTGGGTTGGGTTGGCTGTGGTGTCGTTTCCTGTGCTTTGGTGTGGTGTGCTTTGGTTGTTGTCGTCTCTTATGGTTTAGGGTTTAGGGTTTAGGGTTTAGAGTTAAGGGTTTAGGGTTTAGGGTTTAGGGTTAAGGGTTAAGGGCTTAAGGGTTAAGGGTTAAGGGTTAAGGGTTCAGGGTTCAGGGTTCAGGGTTAAGGGTTAAGGGTTAAGGGTTTAGGGTTTAGGGTTTAGGGTTAAGGGTTAAGGGTTTAGGGTTTAGGGTTTAGGGTTTAGGGTTTAGGGCTGCTGGTCTCCTGCTATGCTGCCAGTGTGTCTGCTTGCTTTCTATGTCGTGGTTTGCTTGGTTTGTGATTGTAAATTCCTGCCATTGTGTTGGTGTCGGCTGTTAATGACACTTTGTTGAGGTGTGTTTCCTTTTGATTCCTGTCTGTTTCGCCCTTGGGAAAAGGGTGAAACAAATCTGGACCGGGGTTTTATGTCACGGGGAACGACCCGAACAAACCTGATCAAATCTGATCAAATCTGATCAAAACCTGATCAAACCTGATCAAACCTGATCAAAACATGGTTTGATCAGGTTTTGATCAGATTTGATCAGGTTTGATCAGGTTTGATCAGATTTGATCAGGTTCTTTCGGTTCTGTTTTGGATGACATCGTGGTGGATTGGGCCTTGATAAAAGGTCCAATCAATCAAGTATTTTTGGTATTTTGTGGGCCAAGGCTGGACATAATTGTTTTGGCGTGGGCTCGGTTTTGTTGCTCCAGGCGGTTTGTGCGCTATCAGCTGGTTCGGGAACCAAACAAATAATCCTTTTAGCAAGGACCATTTATTTGGTTTCGGGCTTACTGTGTCTTGTATGTTTGCCCGGGGGGGCAGTTTTGCGCGCTACGACCCCTCCCGTCCCCAGACCATGCACAAAAAAACAAGGACCAACAGCAAAAACAAAGTAGCTCCAACTCTACACCATTTTTACTCCCTGAACCTTAAACCTGTAATGCCTAAGACCTTAAACCCTACACCCTAAACCTTAAACCCTAAACCCTAAACCCTGAGCCCTAAACCTATAAACCCGAAGGGCGAACCCCAAACCTCGAAACCCTAAGCCTTAAACCCTAAACCTTAAACCCTAAACAATGAACCCTGAAACCCTAAAGCCTGAACCGACCCTAAACCTCAATCCCTAAACCCTAGAACCTAAACCCTAAACCTCTAAAAAATCCTAAGGCCTTAAACCTGAAACCCCTAACCCTAAACTTTAAACCCTAAACCTGAAACCCCAAACACCGAACCCTGAAACCCTAAATCCTCAACCGACCCTAAACCTCAATCCCTAAACCCTAGAACCTAAACCCTAAACCTGTAAACCCTAAGTCCTTAAACCTCAAAACCCAAACCTCTAAAGCCTAATCTTTCCACCCTAAACCTTAAACCCCAAACCCTAAATCCGGAACCGACCCTAAACCTCAATCCCTGAACCCTAGAGCCTAAACCCTAAACCTGTAAACCCTAAGGCCTTAAACCTAAAACCTCGAACATCTAAACCCTAAACCTGAAACCACCCCAACCCTCCCCAGACCCCTGTTTAGGCTCGAAAAGCCGAGCTGTCTTGGGTGAAACTTCTGAGCTGGTGGCCTCGAGCAGCTTATACTTACTAAGGGTTTCAGGCTTTAGGGTCTTATGGTTTACATGTATTGCATAGCTAGGGTTGAGGCTTAGGCCTACTTATACTTAATTCATAAGCTGCCCTCGAGCACCAGCTTGTAGCTAGGCTACAAGGAGCCTTTTCTCAAGGCTCCGGAGACCCTTTCATCAAGGGTCGAACGGCCCTTTTCTCAAGGGCGGTTTGGCTGCATGATGCCTTTTATCAAGGCATCTGTGGGAGGCTGCTGCTACACCCTCGCTCGATGCAACATGCCTTTTATCAAGGCCTGCCGGCCCTTTTAACAAGGGCCCGTGGAGGCTATCACTTGTCTTGCTTGCTTTCCAAGAAAGCCTCCACGGCGTCGGCGAGGGTGTTGTAGGCCCTTGCATGGCCGTAGTGGTGCTGCCGGGCCTTACGTATCGCCCAGTCCGTAATGCCCAAAGTCGAAGCCTCCCACAAGATGTCGTCGCGATCATCGAAGAGGTCCGTGATCGCGAGGGTCTTGCACAGCTGTGCTTTCCCCCTTTTACCAAGGTGGGCCCTCACGAACCTCTTGTCGTCAAAGACCAGGCCGTGCTGCTCCTCCAGGGCCTTCAGGGTCCGCCGGGTCTCCGCCTCTCTGTCGCGACCGGAGTAGGAGAGCAGGCAGACCCAGTAGCCACTTTCTCGCAAGGCTTGCACCGCCGAGATATTCTCTGTGGGCACCCTGCTCCAGCAGGCACCTTCGACCTCCAAGACGTGGTGGAAGTCGATGGCCACCCTTTTACCAAGGGCGGCCGGAAACTTCACCTGCCACGTCTGCGGTCCTTTGCCCAAGGACTCTCCGTGGCCCCTAGACCGAGCCGCCGAGGAGGCCTCCATCGAGGCATGGTCCGGCACCGAGG